CAGAAACCAATTGCTCATCCTCATGTCAGCATGACTAAGCAAGCAATGAGCTCATCTGCAAGTCAGCATGATGTGTATTTTGATGGGCTCACGGATTGGGCTTGGATCAATCAATTGATGAGCCTGAGCTATCCATCTTTAAATTCAGAATGTCTTCTTTCCAAGCACACGTGAATTGGCCCAATCCAAGTTCAGATGAAAAAGATATGTCTGAAATGAATTTGTAACTCAGTCTTCAGTTTTACACATTGTTTTCACCATTTTACTTCAAATGCCTCAAGTGATACCTAGAGCTCAATGAACTGAATGACAAACACAAAAGAGGTTAAAAGCACAAGGTTAACTCAAAAACATAACTAAATCATAAGCTATAAGGGTACAAAATGATATACAATTGTGAATCGAACAGTGGACCGCTGGCCCATCTCTCTAAAATTTAACATTAACCACTTGAGCTATAAGCCCTTGCCATACAGTTGAGTTATTATGTGAAAAAATATTATCACACAGCCATATCAGCATATTCAGCACCTGGAGTGTTTTTTCTCCTTGTGCATCTCACATGAAGATATAGGAAACCTCTCTCTCAGCTTTGAGTGTTTTTTCTACCAACCCTAGCCCCCCTCTCTTCTTGTGTTGTCCCGCGCGCTAGGGGAGGAAGTGGTCACTGACCCTCCTCCCCTCCCCTCCTTTCACCCCCTCTTTCCCTCTCCTCCTTCCTCCCTCTTTATCTTCTATTTTTGTGGTTTTTTCCTTCCTCCTCTTCCTCTTTTCTTTCTTTTCTAGTTCCCTCTCCCCCTTCCTCCCTCGTTCTCGACCTCTCCTCCCTCTTTCCCTTTTTCTGTTCTCTCCCTCCACTTTTTTCGAGTCTTTTTCTCTTTCTTTCCTACTCTCCCTTTTTCTTGTTTTCTCCCTCATCCCCCTTTTCCGACCATTTCCTTTCTCTTCCACCTCTTGGGGGGTTTTGCTATGTTTTTGCAGAGTGATTCTCAGTTTTTCTGGTGTTTTTTCGGTTTGAGCCTGTTTGGCTATGCTCGTGGCTCTCTCTGAGAGTTGGGTGCTTTTCCCTACTGTAGTGATTGCTTGAGCCTTGTGCTATGTATTGAGATTAAATGTCTCAAGCCGTTGTGTCCCCTGTTTTTCGCCAATCTACCCCAACATCTCCTTCTCTTTTTGCCTGCTCTTGTTGAAAGTTAAACCAATCAGGAATCCAAAGCTACTTTTGTAAGAGCATGCTGTCGTTTATTGGCTCAATGAGTTTATTGGCTCAATGAGCTACTGTTGTTTTACCCATGTTGTCGGTTGTTGTCCCAATACAACTTTTCTCTTTTGACTAAAAGTTTGTCTCTCAAAGAGACGTTGGTCTCTTGTTTTGTAATGAGAGTGTTGTAGTATAAAACTATTATTATTGAATGAAAACTTATCGAGAGCAGGAAGCTTCTGTCTTCTTCCTTCTATTCTCTTCTGAGTCTTTGTGAGTTCTTGAGTGAGTGTTTTCTTGCTTGATTTTCTTTGGGTTTCATCTGCGTGCCATCTTTGGTGTTTGGTCTGTTTGTTGTCTGTGAGTTTGCTGGTGTGAGTTTTTTAGTTTATTCTACACTTTCCTCTAGAATCAACACATGTCATTTTTATCTTTTTCTTGTTTTTATTTGTTACCCAATTCTGTGACAATGGTTAGTGTGCTTCAAGCTTGTGCAGCTCATACTGCTCTGGAACAGGGGAGATTCCTTCATGGATATATCCTCAGAAGAGGTCTTGATTCAATCCTTCCAGTTATGAGTACCCTTATCACAATGTATGCAAGATGCGGTAGGCTTGACTTGGGAGAACGAGTTTTCAGCATGATGAATAAGAAGGATGCTGTTTCATGGAATTCTTTGATTTCAAGTTATGGCGTTCATGGATATTGAAAGAAGGCAATTCAAATTTTTGGAGACATGGTCTATCATGGAGTATCATTGAGTCCCATTTCATTCGTTAGTGTCTTGGGCGCATGTAGTCACGCAGGTCTTGTTGAAGAGGGGAAGATGTTGTTTAATTCTATGGTAAAAGAACATGGAATATATCCAAGCGTTGAGCACTACGCTTGTATGGTGGATCTGCTTGGTCGTGCCAATCGGTTCGATGAAGCAGCCAAAGTCATAGAAGATATTTGGATTGAACCAGGTGCTAAAGTTTGAGGTGCTCTTCTTGGATCATGTAGAATACATTGTAATGTTGTGGCGGAGAGAGCAAGTAAAAGGCTATTTGAACTTGAGCCTAGGAATGCTGGCAATTATGTACTACTAGCTGATATTTATGCTGAAGCCAAGATGTGGGATGAGGTAAAAAGAGTGAAGAAGCTTTTAGAAGCTCGAGAACTACAAAAGGTCCCAGGTCGGAGTTGGATTGAAGTTAAAAGGAAGATATACTCATTCATTTCGGTTGATGAGTTTAACCCACAGATGGAGCAGCTCCATGCATTGTTGGCTGAATTGTCAACAGAGATGAAGGACAGAGGATTTAAGCCGCAAACTAAAGTTGTCCTACATGATCTTGATGAGGAAGAGAAGGAACGAATAGCATTAGGCCATAGTGAAAAATTAGCAGTTGCATTCGGACTCATAAATACCAAAAGGTGTATACTGTATAATAGGAACACTCTGTTAAAAATTATACATGTTCTTTGAAATCCTCATCAGTAAATGATTTTTCTGATTTTATGATTCATATGGTGGTTATTGTAATTTTCCAACTCTATACTCTTTTTTGTACCACTGATTTAACCCTGATTGTGGATTAATAAAGTCTTTCATTTCATTTCATTGAATTCAAGCAGGCCATAAGTTATTAGGATAAAACTCAATGAAGAAAAAGTTAATAGAAATTGTTATTATAAAACAGATAATTAAAGACACTTTTGATTGGTACACCAGAGATTGAAAAGTCACTTCATTTTAATTCATTTTCAACCGAGCTGAACATTGGGAAAATGCTGCAAACAAATTTAGAAAGTCTGAACATTAACAATATTACTTTCACAATCTCTTTGGATAAACTTGTGTAATGAACAAGTTGCCTTCAGTTGCATAATTCAAACCTTGAGGAAGCCCTTCTCCTTGAGGCTTTCAACAGTGTCCCTAAGACTTACTTCCAGTGGAAGGAAATTAACTCCCAAACTTTTTGCTTTTTCCTGTGATACTTGATATGTGGGTTCAGAAGGATTGGCCTCCTCATATCTGCCAACAATGAAACAAATAAATCTTTCCTTCCCTTAGAAATTTGTCATATTCGAAAAAGAAAATTTCCAATTTGTGGCATTTTGCAAATTATAACTTACTTTTCGGGTGGGCACAGAGAGGGATGAAGTTCATGTAAAATCTTCAGAACCTTGGCCATGGGTGTAACATGTCCAACTAAACAATATCTTCCATTAGCTGAAGGAACCTCAAATGCTTGAACATGAGCTGAGGCAACATCTCTGACATCACTACATGAATAAATTGAACTGTTTACATCTTCAATATCTGCATGCATAGAAAAGAAACAAACTTGCATCACAAGAATCATATAACATCAAATGACTAACTTTAAATGTTATTTTGTTACCTGAACCAACATTTCGTTAACATTCGATAAACATACCTAATACTCTAAGAAAATGTTTAGACACTCAACAATTATGCTAGCTGCCTCAACTAAGTTAGTTCTGACTCTCCATCATAGTCTGCTCTAACCAAGCAAAGATTGAAAAGGAAAAATCATATATAGTTGCTGAAGTGTACCGTTTTTGAGGTTGAGAATCACCTCCACAGTGAGATTAAGGCTTGGTTGTAACAGTGGACCAATCACATAGGGTGGATTTATGGTAACCAAGTCAATCCCATTTCCTTCAGCAAATTTCCAAGCAGCTTCCTCAGCTAAAGTTTTTGAAAGAACATACCATTGCTGGACACAGAGAAGAGAAAGAAGTTCGTACTAAACCAAGATATACTTCCTGCCTTGTTTTATGTTAAGCATACCTCAATGCAACGAATCACATGAACAACTGATTTATTATTATTTTTTTTAATGGCAAAAAAAAAAAAACACAACTCAGATCGTTTAATTCAAAGACTTAGACATTTTGAGCTCAAGAAGATGGACAAAAACTTGGAATCTACTTCTGAAGAACAAATGAAGAACAGGGGAGAATAAAAGGAAAGAAGAAAGATATAGGATAATTATTCATCTCTTGCATAATTGGATGCAGATACTTGTAAAGGTGACAAATTCAATATTGTTAATGTCAGGGAAATATAACAAATGAATAATGATTAAATGAATAAAAGGTGAAACTTGGAAGAAGATGATAAGCATGGGTGCATACACACTTACCTTCAAACTCTCACAAAGCAGAGGATCTGAAAACCATGTTTCATCAATCACCACATCAGGGGTCAATGGTCTTCCATTTTGCTTGACTGCAGCCATAGAAGATGTTAAAACAACCCTCTTGACGGTAGCGAATTTTACGCACGATTTTAGAACATTAAGGGTTCCCTTCACTGCAGGGTCAATTAATTCTGCCTGAGATTGTGTAGACAAAAGAACCATTTCAGTTTTGAACTCTATAAGAAATGAAAGTAAAGGGATGAATGCTATTATATAGTACCTGAGGGTTAGTGGCTGAAAATAGAACAGGGGATGCTGTATGAAAAACACCTTCACATCCATCAACTGCAGCGTCAAAAGATCCTTCTTCTATCAAATCTGCTTGGAACAAATGCAGCCTTTCTTTTGCCCCATCAAGTGCCAATAAGTGTTCTGTTTTCTTTGAGTCATCTGTGGCATCACAGGCATAAATGCAAAAGTGATTAGTTCACCTAAAGGGCCTCTCCATACATATGCTCCGTGTATTTACTTTTATTGGATGATGATATTGTGTTTATATCCAAAGTTCTTTTCTAACCTTATTATCTTTCCAGTATAAATCCTAATGGTAAAAATATTAACTCAAAACATTTAAAAACCATGTTTTTGACATAAATATAATCGGGAGATGGTCCATTAAGGATTTTATGTTAAAGGTAGTTAAGGATTTATAATCTCAGCTATTGAATTGCATGTATGGTACATATTAACTCACTAACACTTCTAATGTATGGCCGAGATAAGAAGTTCTTAGCCAACACTAGGGTGCTCTCTATTTATGCTGGTCACGAGCGTGGAGGAAAAAACTTGTACACTGTTGGCTTGATAGATCTACAATATTGTTCACTCACATTTCTTTGATAGCTTATGTTTTTGGAACCTAATGGTTTTCTATCATGGTACTTGTTAGAGACATTTAGATGATGACATGTGTTGCAAGATTAGCCCATATTCATAATTGTCTAACATTAATCACATGATTACAGATGAAAAACCGAAACTCACAAGTTTTTGTTGATCTGATCAAAACCAAGAAGTTGAAAATGAAAATCATTTAAGAAAAAAAAGTTACCGAACATGTTCTCAGTACTTTTCAAAAAATTTTTAAAAAAAAACTGTTAAAAAAAATATTGAAAGAGAAATGATTAGCAAGCAGGTAATTAGTTTGATACCAAGTTTAGGGAGAGAAAGGGAGAAGAAATGAAGTATAGTGGATGTATATAGGATTATTCTCCAATAAGTATTTAAGTTAATAATTGATTACATATTTCTAATCACTGATGTTGGATTGCATTTATTAAATGTGTTGGTAGATTTAATATGCAACATACAATCTAACAGTCAAGAAATATGTAATATATAAATACTGACTTGGGTCACGGACATTGGCTTTGACAATATAAGCTCATTCTAGCAAGAGCTTGATAGGCCATGATCCTATGAAACTAGATGCTCTTGTGACACACACCACCTTCCTTTCTTGGCTCATCCTTCTCCTCTCATCACATTAAGAT